CTGCCTATACAGGGGGTCGGACTCGATGATCTATTGAGGTCCCTTCCAACCCTAACATCTATGAATCTATGACCCCCAAATCCCTTTTGGCCATGGTGCTAGCAAGCGTAGCACTGCCGAGCCTTTAAGCGTGCTGCAGATTTTTCTTCCCAAGGTGGAGTACCTTGCATTTTTCAGTGTTGAACACCATCAGGTTATCGTCCGCCCATTTTCTGAGCCTGTCAAGGTCGGCCTGGATCACCATCCTGTCCTCAGGTATGGATGCTTTACCCCAAAGTTTGGTGTCATCGGTGAACTTGGCCAGTCCACTTCTGATACCAATGTCCACATTTAATGAAGATGTTAAAGAGTATAGGCCCAAGGACGGAGCCTTGGTGGACCCCACTGGTCACGGTGCACCACAATGATTGACTTCTGTCAACTACTACTCTCTGGATCCGACCTCAAAGCCAGTTCCCCAGGCAGTGGACTGTGATGTAGCCGAGGCTGCAGTTGGCCAGTTTTTCTATGACATGATCATGGGGTACCAAATTGAAGGGTTTTTTTTTTAAAATCAAGATATATGTCAATCTCTTGTTCGGTGGCGTGGTGTCACATCAGATTAAGCATTGTAAAGTCGAAACTGACGTCAGCAAGTTGAAACAGGGCATCAATGTATAAATGTTGTAAGTGTGCAACATTGTAACTTGAAACATTGTAAGTTGAGGACTGGTTGTATTTAGTATCCCTCCATGCTTACAAACCTTTTGGTTCATTCTTCGGTGTGTAAATTTAAATGGTTTAATTGAATTACTCTTGTTTTTTTTAATACCTGTTGACATTTCCATTATTCTTTTGGATTATTCCTTCTGGTTGTTCCCTTATTGGTAAGTCTTGTAACTGATAACTGAGCTGCCCATTAAGAAATTTACAGCAGCACATTCCTTGGATTGTTTGTTGGACCACTTTTCAAGGATGGGTGATTTTCATTATTTTCTTGTCTTTGCTTTCTAGTTGCTCAAACCAGAATATTGGCATGACTAGGTTTTTTTCAGGGGATGAATGTAATGTCATTAGCCCCTGTTTTGGTTTTTATTTATAGTTTTATAGTTGGCAGGGACCTGAGCAGATTATCAAGTCTGACCCCCTGCCATGGCAGGAAAGAGTACTGAGGTCAAATGACCCCGGCCAGGTGTTCATCCAGCCTCCTCTTAAAGACCCTCAGGGTAGGAGCCAGCACCACTTCGCTTGGAAGTTGGTTCCAGATCCTAGCTGCCCTGACAGTGAAGTAGCACCTCCTGATATCTAGCCTGAATCTATCCTCTGCCAGCTTGTGACCATTATTTCTAGTCACTCCTGGTAGTGCTCGGGGGAACAGGGACTCTCTCAATGCCTGCTGGTCCCCCCTGACTAGTTTGTAAATGGCCAGTAGATCCTCTCCCCCCCAGCCTTCTCTTGTGGAGGCTGAACAGGTTCAGGTCCCTTAGCCTCTCCTCGTAGGGCCTCGCCTGCTGCCCCACTGATCATGCAGGTGACCCTCCTGTGGACCGTCTCCATGCTGTCCACATCCCTCCTGAAGTGCAGCGCTCAGAACTGGACTCAGTACTCCATCTGCGGCCTGACCAGTGTCGCATAGAGGGGGAGGATCACCTCCTTGGACCTGCTTGAGATGCATCTGTGGATGCATGACAAGGTATGGTTGGCCTTCCTGACCGCATCCCCACATTGTCAGCCCATGTTCATATTGGCCTCAATAATGACTCCAAGATCCTTTTCTGCCTCTGCACTGACGAGAAGGGAGTTCCCCAGCATGTTGGTCTGCTGCTGGTTCTTCTTCCCTGGGTGCAGTACCCTGCACTTGTCAGTGTTGAAACCCATCCTGTTCTCTTCCGCCCACGCCTGTAGCCTGTCCAGATCCGATTGCAATCTATTCCTTCCTTCTAGCGTGCCTTCTTCCCACATTTTAGTGTCATCTGCAAATTTGAACATGTTGCATTTTACCCCTTTGTCCAAGTCACTGATGAAGATGTTGAACAGTGCAGTCCCGAGGACCGAGCCCTGGGGAACCTCACTGCCTACATCCCTCCAGGTCGAATAAGACCTGTCCACCACCACTCTCTGGGTGCGACCCTCCAGCCACTTAGTGACCCATTTGACTCTGTAGGCATCAACACCATAGTCTCCTAGTTTTTTTTAATGAGAATGGGGTGAGAGACCATGTCAAAGGCCTTCCTAAAGTCCAGAAAGACTATATCCACCGCGACACCTGCATCCAGGGATTTGGTGACCTGGTCATAGAAGGCCACCAGGTTGGTCTGACAGGACCTGCCTCTAATGTGTTAATGTTGGAACAGAGTAAATATGTAGTACTTTAAGGTTTGGAAGTAATTATGGTAGAGTTTCTTTCAGTTCTTCTCTAAAGAAGCTGATGGCTTACTAAATTCTACACAATTATTCTACCCTTCTTTTCCATCCCTTCTAAGTAGCCATTTTTATCTGCTGAAGAACAAGAAAAAGGTAGCAATTAACAGGTTCTTTTTAAAAAAGATATTTTAAATATGGTACTTAAAATTTACAGTAATGTCTTTTGTCTCTCTTCTCCCAGAGATGAATCGTTTCTACTTCTTTACATAGAAAGAGTGGATGTTCCTTGGAGAAGTCCTAGAGTTTACTTACTAGCTTCCTAAGTTTGAATAGAAGCTTATCAGCTTCTCAGGTGTTTTTGGAAGGTCTGAGAAGAGGTGGAATAAAATATCCACTCACTAACAATGATTTCTTTACCTTTAGCAACCAGAGTGTTTTGTGTTGCAGGGCAGTACAGCAAAGAGAAAAGTCACTTCTTTATGATTTATCTGCTCCTATGCAGGTTGTTGTTCGGTGTCCACTTTTGTATACAGCTGCTTTCTCTCTTTCATAGAGACATTGCTTGCACCTCTAGACTTAAGACTGTTAAGCTTTTCACTTAAAACAGGATAGAAGGGATTGTGTTTTTATAGCTTTGTAATTTAATCTAGCTTCCTTATTAACCACACTTACTGTTCAGATAATGATTGTGTTCTCTGCTGCCTTAACCTTCCTGCCTGAGCTCTGCCGCTTATTGAAGTCTCCAGTAGGGCTGTGTGAAGCTTCAGTAGCTGATTCTATTCAGAGGAGATTCGTCTCGATTTGGGGACCAAATCTGAATCCGAATTGAATTGGGAGACCAGTTAAAAGCTCTGAATCTGTTTGAAGCATCCAAATAGGTTCGGAAAAAATTCTGAAATTCGGCCGTAGACTAAATAGGCAGCTGACACAGCTACCTCCAGCTGGTAAGTCTGTTGGGGTTCGGGTTGGGGGAGTGGGGAGGGATTGGGGCTGGGGCTTGGACAAGCTGGCCAGCCAGGGTGGGATGCGCGGGACTTGGGGAGGAAGGCAGGGAATGCGGGCACAGCAGCAATAGGAGTAGGGTCTATGTCCTGCTGCTGCTTGCCCAGCCACGGCAGGGGGGGTGGACTGGGAGCACAGCTCGCTCCAAGCAGAAGAGGGCAAGTGACAGCAGGGCATAGCTCCCACTCCCAGCACTGCTGCTCCCGTCCCCCTGTGCTCTTCTGTGCTGGCTGGCAAGTAGCGGCAGCACAGAGTCCCCGCTCCCAGTGCTGATGTGGGCACAGCAGAAGCGGGGACTCTGCCCTGCTGCTGCTTGCCCAGCCCATGCAGGGGAGTGGGGGGATGAGATGCAGGTGTAGCTCGCTCCAGGCAGAAGAGGGTAAGTAGCAGCAGGGCATAACCCCCACTCCCAGCTCTGCCGTGCCTGCATTCCACATCTCCCCGGGCCAGCTGGCAAGTGGCGGCAGCACAGAGTCCCTGCTCCCAGTGCTGATGCAGGCACAGCAGCAGGGACTCTGCCCAGCTGCTGCTTGCCCAGTCGGGGCAGGAGAGGGGCGCGATGCAGGCGTGGCTTGCTTCAGGAGGAAGGGGGCAAGCAGCAGCAGGGTATAGCCCCCACTCCCAGCACTGCTGCGCCCACGTCAGTGCTGGGAGTGGAGACTCTGCCCTGCTGCCACTTGCCAGCCGGCACGGGAAGGGGTGCAGGATGTGGGCGCGCGGCAGCACTGAGAGCGGGGCTTGCTCCAGGCAGAAGGAGGCAAGCAGCAGCAGAGCAGAGCCCCCACTCTGATTGCTGCCATGCCCACATCCTGCACTCCTCCCTCCCTGGCAAATAACATGCCCCCTTGCCCTGACTGGGCAGCTTGTCTCAGCCCCAGCCTCAGTCCCTCCCTTCTCCACGCACCTTCCTTCTCCCAACCCCAAAAGACTTACCAGCTGGAGGCAGCTGTCAGCTGCCTGTTTAGTCTATGACCGAATCTCTGAAGCAGTGCTAAATCTTTTGGATCTGACTCAGCCGAATCAAATCAGAACAGTGATTCAAATCTCCGATTCGAATCGCTGTCCTTCAAATCGGCCGATTCCAAATTCTAAGTGAATACTTGCCGCTTGGCACAGGCCTAATCTCCAGCCAGACCCCTGTGAGGCAACGTTGAATGATAATAATACCTCATAGGTATCTGCTTCCTATTCCTAGGCCTGTAAGTAGTGGAGACCAAGTCATTCTGTTGCAATTGATCATCCCTTGGCTGTCTTTATACAGGATGTTATGTTTTTCCACAACTCTGTTGGTAAGGAGATCTACTTGCACTTTTTTCTTGGCCAGATATTATATGAAATTAACTCCGTTTTCTTTTAATCTTGTGTTAAGAAATTTTTTCAAAACTTCAGGAAAATAAAAAAGGCTTTTTACTGTAACTTTTAAAATTTGCATTGACAGGCTCTGAAAGCGCTTCTCCAATCCAGTCTGCTCTTGGATCCCGATCACAGACACCCTCTCCTGCCACTCTGAATGCAGATCATATAGAACAGAAGGATCTGCAGCTGGATGAAAAGCTCCACCACTCTGTTTTACAGACGCCAGATGACCTAGGCAGTATCTGAAACTGAAAATTTAAAAATGTTCTTTCTTTCCTTCCAGTGCAATATAATAATATCCTTTCAATGTCTTGTCTAAGGCTGTTACAATAACCTACAAATTTTAAAACTTTGCAGAATCATAACAATTTCCTTTTGCAAATGTACCATCTAGAAGGGTATGCTGTTTTTGGCATACCACTGCAAGTGATTTAGTGGATTAGCAGTCAAGGATCCCTTTAATTGTTCTTTTAATGTTAAAAATCACAATTGCAATCTAATTCAGAACTGCAGTATCACTAAAACATAAATAATGCAGCATCATTTTTCAATATTGTCGTTTTGTAATATTTGTCTCCTTTTTATACAGTCTCAATTTAGCTAGTTACACATTTAATTCTGAGGGTGATTTGTTTTAATAAAACATTTAAAAGTGAAGAAATTCATAGTTACATTTTCATAAACATTGTCTTTGCAATATAAAGATGCTGTACATAAAATACCACATGCCATGCATCTTTCTGCTTTGATTGCATATCCTCTGCTACCATGCTGTAAGTACAGAAGACAGAGAAAGTATCCTATCATCTGTATGCACAGTGCTGCCTACTTCTTCCACATTCCATCTCATGGGCCTTAGACTTAAATTACTGACGTTTTCTATTTCTACAACCAGACAAATATGAACATTTTGACTTGTGTTTCTCAGTATGTAATCTAAATACAAGCAGTTTAATGCCAGATATAGGCAGATATTCAAAAGAAGAGAGCATCTGACTGAGTTATCATTAAGCTCTAGAGCGGAGACTTTTTTCCTTTTTTTTTTTTTTTTTTTTTTTTTTTTTTAAATCTGGCCTCAATTTTGGGAGGTGAACACTTGGAAATCTAAGTCAACTTGCTTCTTTCACTCCAATCTATCTACCAAGTAAATACACCCAATGCTTGTAATGACCAGATAAGATTTTTATATAATATGCCATAAAATTAGCTACCTTTGTAAACAAAATTAATATATCTTAGTTTAAATGCCTTATTCACTTTTGCTTGTTTTAAGAAAACGTATATATGTGCAAATTCTATTAGAGCTCTTCTTTCATCATAGAAGGTAGTTCTTACTTTGTTTTTCTGCCGTTACAGAAACTAGTGAATTCCCTTCAGAATGTTGCAGTGTGATGGCGGGGGGAACGCTTACAGGATGGCATGCAGATGTTGCTACTGTAATGTGGAGACGAATGCTTGGAATTTTGGGAGATGTCAACAGCATTACAGACCCAGAGATTCATGCCCAAGTTTTTGATTATCTCTGTGAACTCTGGCAGAACCTGGCTAAGGTATAAAAATCTTCCCTCCCATCCAGCTTGACAGTGTGTGTGTTCAGAATGAAAACAAAATCTTTTGTAAATTTCACTTACACACTTTATTTCTGTTTTAAATAATTGCAGATAAGAGATAATCTTGGTATTTCAACCGATAATCTGACTTCACCGTCTCCACCAATTTTAATCCCACCATTGAGAATTCTAACTCCATGGCTTTTCAAGGTAAATCCAAAAACAGTAAAGGAGAAGTTCATGTGGTTACCAAATGTAAATGTTCTTAATACATTTTTCACAGTTTCATAGTTGGTCGGGTTGGAAGGGACCTGAGCAGATCATCAAGTCCAACCCCCTGCCATGGCAGGAAAGAGTACCGGGGTCAAACG